AATGTGGTAGAAAGGGCAGGGTCGGACGCCTGTGTACTGGATACTATGGGAAGAGGCTAAGTTGGAAAAGCACTAGAGAGGGTAAAGCTGGGGCTGAGTTGTCTTGAGACAGTCTTGATGAGGATGAAAGGAGGAAGGGTATCACAGGGAGAGTATGGTCAGATACTCTCTAGAAACAGGCCTCAGAAGATAGGCTGCGACCTGAAGCACCCTCAGGTTATCTTGAAGTCAAACACTGAAACGCTGACTGATCCTTACCATTCCCTCTAGCCTGGACAGTACAATGGACGGCCCTATCTACATGTGGACCAGCTCAGAGACACCCACGCTTGAGTTCATGCCCCCTCCCACAGCTATGTTCCTAAGTTCTTCCTGGGGCTCCCCGATGGGGCAGCAAACACAAAGCTCTGTGATACAATCACACATGGGAAGCTTCCCAGATCAAGCTTGGAGACCTCCCAAGGTACACTGAGCATGTGCCTGCCCGTATCTGGGGCTGGCTGAGGCTAAGGGTGGGAATAGACTAAGGCATTGGGGCACTACTGAGGTGCTGTCTCTCACTCACAAAGAAATAATCTTAAAAAAGAAAAAGAGGGAGCCAGCAGTTAGCGTAATGGCTGTGTCGCTGGACTCCCACGTAGTCGACCGCAGTTCACGTCCTAGACCCGGTGACTTAAAACTCACGCCGGGCGCATGTGTGTGTGTGCCCAAGATCCCGAGAGGAGAATGGAGGAGAAGGGATTGCGGCGTGACCATCCCCCCTGGGGGGTGATTTCTCGTTTTCTGCCTCTGTGTCTCTCTGTCTGTCTGGCGAGCGCACGTGCCCTATAGCGAAAATTTCTCAAAAAAAAAAAATAAAAAAGAAAGAAAAAGTTCTTTATATCAAGCCCAAATATGATTCCTTGTGGTTTTTATTCATTTGCTTCCATATATCCTTCTGGGCTCTACCAACAGCTATTACACCCCAAGAATTCACTTCTTAGGCAGATCCATACCAGTTTTCTTTAGCACTCATGTGACTTTTCTTCAGCTTTTTATTATGGAAAATTTTAAACGTTCACAGACACAGGGAGCATAGTATAATAAGTATCCATTTACCCATGATCAGCTTCCACAACAAGGAATGCATGACCAATTTTGCCCCCATGTGACATTTTTATCTCCTCTACCATGCGGTCATGACGTGTGTTTACAGGTGTGGTCTGGCCAGCCCAGAGTACCAGCAGCTCACTCACCTGAGACATCATATGTCCACTAGGACAGCTTGAGAGCCCTACACTGTGTGGGAACCAGAATGCAGCTTCGCAGTGTGAATTCAATCGAATCCAACCCTCACACCAGAAGGTGTGCAGCGGGTTTTCTGACATGAGCACGGGGATTTACATTTGCCCCCCGTGGTTTTCATCTTATCAGACTCAGCCCACTCCTTCCTGCCATCAGGACCCTTGTAAAGCTGACTCTCTAATACTCAACATCCCTGCCAGCTTTGTGATACCACCAAAATTTAGAAAAGGAAGAATATGAGTAGGAATGATTTAGAAAAAGATGTAGAGCTGGGAAAGATCAGAGAAAACATTTAGTTAAACTCCTTATTCTATAGATGAGGAAACTAAGACCCAGAGAGATGGCATCTGGCCCAAGGCCACCCACTAGGTGACATCAAGTCAGGCTAGAGTGTGGGCCACCACGCCCACTAGCTCTCTGGGTCTTCAGGAGGAAGTGCTCTAGGAGAGAAATGCAGATCACCCTAGCCAGGTTAGTGTCTGTGGGCTTCTGCAAACAGGCTTCCAGCTGATCTTTAACTTCCACCCACTTCCTGGGCAAACATTCGCCAGGGGTTGCTCACTGCCAGGCCTCAGGCCCCGGATTGTCTTCCAGTGTCTCCCACCTGCAGTGATGATGTTAGAAAGCATTTTTCTCTGCTTAGTGAACTCCTGAGGTAATAAAGGACCATGTAACTAAATTAGGACAGTCACAAACATTGATAAGTAACAAAGGAGTCACATGTATCAGAAATAAAAGCATCTGCTATTCAAAAAGCTACACAATTTCTCATTTATAGGAGATGTTCAAAAAAATATACATCTTAAAAATTCAGCATTCCAGGATGCTTTTTACAAGTGTTTCCACATGAGAAACAAATAATAAAAATGGGTAACAATTATAGGTACAAGTTCACACAATTATCTGGACAACATATAAGAAGCATCATGATGTTTGTCAAATAGCTCTCTGTGGCTTGCTTACCACACACCAGAAGAGGGACCCAAGCTCAGATGTGCCTGGCCTAGGAAGCCTCCAACAGAGTGGCAGGTGCCCTCAGGGCTTTGTTCCCTCATTAACAGACGCAGGGGTGGTAGGAGCCCAGGAGCTTCACCACGAAGTACATATCCCAGCATCTTAGCCATCTGCGGGCATCATTAGCTATCAAACCATTTGCTCCTCTTTGCAAGAAGTGCCCCTTTAGAAGGTCCCAATAGTTTCTGCTTATACTGTTCGACCAGCTGGTTGAAGCGCATTTCTGTCTGATTTCGCTTAGCTTTCTTCCGAGGCACCTACAAATGAAAGGAAATACAAGATAATCAGTTTCAAACACTAAATATCACCTTACCTGTAGATCATCTAAAAGAGAAGATAAGTAGGTACAGATGTCATGGCCACTGCAAAGAGGTAGACTTCAGAGAAGGACCATAGAGAGAAAAAGTTGAGAAGGAATTATCTATTGGTAAGAAATCAGACGGGGGCCAGCAGGTGATGTAACAGTTAAGGCGCTAGACTCTCCAGATGGCTGACTGCAGTTCAAATCCCAAACCTGGAGGCTTGAAACTTACTCTGGACACATGTGCATGTATTCCCAAAATCCCAGGAGGAGAATGGAGGAGAGGGGATTGGAGCATAGCCATCCCCCTCTTGGGGGTGATTTCTCACTTTCCCTCTCACTGTCCTTCTCTGTTTCTCTCCTCCCCGGCAAGTGCACATGCCCTATGGCAAAAACCTAAAATAAATAAAACAAAAAAATAGAAAAGAAAGAAAGAAATCAGACCAAATGTGTCCAGGAGCAAGACCCAGCTAAAA